TTAGTCCTCAGAGGTGACAACGCATCTGCAGCTTTCTTTGTATGAAGTTAACTGCAGGCAGGTGTTATAAGACTGTAACCACTCGCAGTTATTGCCAAGTCTTGCGAATCTGACGAGTTAAGTTAAAAATCTCGTTTGAACGGTAATTAGTGAGTTAAGTAGCAAGGTAAAAGTTCAACGCGATAGCCGGGTTGGGCTTTTTGGTGAGTTAAGTGCGAAGTGTTGCCCTCTCGCGCGTTTTCCGCCGGCCGCAACTAAACCCGCCGCTCGTGAGTTTAGTTCAGTGCATAAGTTGACAGGACGCAACGTGTTTGCGTTCGAACCACGAAATACCAAATTGGACTTTGTTTAACTAAACTCGCCACGCAGACAATTGAACACTACCAACTGTCCACTTAACCGTTCACTGTCAACTGCTCCGTAACTAAACTCGCTACTGCACTTGTCGAAGTGTAAATTGGCTATTAGCTGGAGTGTTAGTTCTAGAATCACTTCAATTTTATACAAAAAACTAATTTCTAGCAATAACACTATGTATTATAATTAATAACATTTCAGTTTTATACAAAAAACTAATTTCTAGCAATAACACTATATATTATAATTAATAAAAAGAAAATTTGACGACTCAGTGGCGCAGTGGTTTAGTTGCATCGCTAGGGGTTACTGATTCGAATCCCCACAAATAATAGTTCCGGATCTAGATATTTGTCCTTGTTCAATTTATGTACGTTAAACTGCCCAGGAGAAATTTCTAGTGTGGAGGTAACGTTTTTTTAAGTATCCGTATTTTTTGAGGTTAGTGACTTTCTATTTATGACAGTGAAATAAAATTTTAATACTTAATGATATTATTGTATTAGAATATTATTACATGAGCTGTGTTTATTTTATTTTACCTACAAGTAAGTTTATATAAATCTGCCTTAATACATAGTGATAGTACAATTATCTAAATATGATCAATGTTATAATAATGTTTAAATATTTTAAAGAATTTAACAAAAGCTTAAATAAATGTTTGTGAGAACACAAAAAACTTGTTTAGATGTAATTAGACTAACCTAACCTTTTTAGTAATAAAATAAAATACGAATCAAAACTAAACTATCTAAAAATTAGTTATAAATTTAAATTCTTATGCTTTAATATGAATTCCTTACTTTTAGTTAGAACAGTGTTTAGTTAATGGTTTTGGTCGTGGAAGTTATTATTTTTTGTCTCATACAGGTACTTCTTACTAAAGTAAAAACCAACTAATGCATAATGAATTCAAATTGTCTACAATATTTTTTAGATTCTGACTTTTGATATAAAATGAGAATATTATTTCTAATTTATTAAAAAGTTTTAAGTTTTTTGTTTATAGAATAAGGGTAAAAAACGAGTACACAGTCCACCTGATGGTAGGTAGTTCACACACTATCATCTATCCTCGACTACGAATCGAAATGCAGATGCGTTGTCACCTGTAACTGGATACTGTGGCTCGTAGACATCTACGTTTCTCCTCGACGATTAAGTATAAAAATGTAGATGAGGTATGTGATGTATATAATGATGTATGTGAGGACTAACCCGTGAGGGCTAAGAAGATGGAATGCCTCGTTTCCAGTAAAAAGGGTCTCCGGTTCTCTACACTCACCATACGAAACACAGCAGCATTAAGCTACTATTTCACGCTGGTATTCTGTGAGAGCGTGGTCCTTCCCCGGTGGAGCCGACCCATTCGTGCTACAACCCTAAGCTTTTACCTTTGCTTTAATTTAACTTTTATCTGTATGTAAACATTTATTTTTGTTTTGAATACACAATTTTTTGCACAATATCAAGATTTAAATATGATAATTAATTCTTTTGATATTGCATTGTTTCTAATTTAAGAAATGATGTGATGTGACAACCCTAGCATGTCGCCTTCGCTATAAAAGCTTATATATTTGTATATAAACATTTTTAATACATCTTATTGTTTCTACAATATCAAGATTTAAATATTGTTATGAAATAAATAATGAAACTCATATAAAGTAGTTTAAAATTTTTAATTTTATTCTATTGTATTCTTAATTTGTTTGGTAATTTGATAATTTATTATTCGTAAAAAAATTGATGCTGATTTAGTACATTTTTAATGGAATGAGGTTGGCAAACGATCACATAGCCTGCCTGGTGGTAAGTGAATGTTGTAGCCCGTAGACACCCGTGAGGACTTAAAATGAAATTCCTCATTTCCAGTAACAACGGTCTCGTGTTTTCCACAGTCAGTCTACGAAGCCTGGTCTTGGACCCGGTCGAGCCGACCTATTCGTGCTGCAACCATAAAAAAGCTGCAGCGTGGCTCCACCGCGTACAAATATAATTTGTAGAAATATCTACAGTTTTATTTCGTTTTTTATTGATATCAAAAAGGAATTAATTCGGTTAAAAATACATTTTTGAAATTAAACTATTTCAAGTAAAATCTGTAGTCATTTACGATATTTTTATTAGGACAGCGGCTAATTATACTACTTAGTGAGTTTAAATGTTGTGTTAACTACTTATGCATAATAAATTATTTTATTTAATATTATTAATAGTTATTAAGTTTGCTAATGCATACTTTAAATTAGTAAAGAAATATTAATAAAGAATATATCAAAGGTGAAATAGAATAGAATAATTTTTATTCAATATAGGTCACATGTAATTTTTTACTTTTATAACTAGTTTGGAAAACAACCTCTGGCTTTGTAAGAACCACCAAGACACTAGAGGGACTATTTAAAAAAAATTACAATACGAATGGTTACAAAATATTTACAAACTTTATTTTAGACACAACTTAGATAGGACCACCTAAATCCCAGGGGTTATTATCAACCATGTATTAATTTATATTATAATAACCATTTGTAAACTGTTTTTGATAAATGAATAATAACAAGAAATTAAATACATAATAGAAATAAATACTGATAATTTTGGTATTGCTAGTTAAATAAGTATCCTCAATAGATAATTAAATAAATATGATGTATATGTATATATATATATATATATATATATATATATATATATATATGTATATGGTGTATATTTATATTTTGTTTTTACTTTAGTCTACAGTACATATTTATTTTCAATTACTAATTGTTCGGTTGGTTAGTGATGTAATGTTGATTGACATTGGATTTGCTGTTTGTACGTTTAGTGTACAAATGTTAATAAATAGAACCAGCGCTGTTGTTAAGCTTAGTGAGGTCTGTATGCTTAACGCGCTATAACCAAGAGCAACACGAGGAAGGTTTTTTTTTTTCATTTTTTTTACTCTAATTTATAATAAAAATGTTGTGTGTTGTTCAATTGTTGTTTTCCTTTTATTTCTTATTTGTTAACTTTGTTGTACTATTTTCAATTAATGTGCACACAAATGATAAAATTTAAGTTTTTAATGGTGTTTGTGGAGTGTTGTAATAAATGTTTTGTTTGTAAATAAATGAATAAAATAATTGTAATACTTATATATAGCTTTCTTGCAATTATTGTTACTTGATGAAACTTTAGCTTTGTATTTGTAATTTGGATAAAGACAACAGTAAAAAAATATATTTAAAAAGTAAATATTGTAATAAAAATATTAATTACTTCGCAACCTTCTGTTCACCAAATACAATGATGTGTCTTACCTGGATTGAAGAGCACTTTCCGCCCTTCCTCAATTGCTTGCACTAACTCCGTCACCACTAGTGGTCTAGCACCACTACTCCCAACACCACTATTCCAGGTAACACACATCATCGACGATAATACGACAAGTGTTTCGCCTCTACACGAGGCATCCTCAGGTGATGGCTAAGAACTTAGCGGTCTGCCGCCGTAGAGTCTACATCACCTAAAGATGCCTCGTGTAGAGGCGAAACACTTGTCGTATTATCGTCGATGGTGTCTGTTACCTGGAATAGTGGTGTTGGGAGTAGTGGTGCCGGGACTAGTAGTGACGGAGTAGTGCAAGCAATTGAGGGAGGACGGGAGGTGCTCTTCAATCCAGGTAAGACACATCATTGTATTTGGTTAACGGAAGGTTGCGAGGTAATTAATATTTTTATTATAATGGATTTCCGCAAAGTAACGCCTGATTCTATCAATTAAATATTGTAAAACAAAAATCACAAAAATGAAATAATTTTATACGTCGTAGCAGGTTGTAAATTTTATTCGAATCGAGCTTAAATTACACGTTTGTTTTTGTATGGGTGTACTTAATTGAATTGGTAATGTGTTTATGTAAAGTGTGCTCCCGTACTTGCGTGCGCGCATTTGTGTCCACGTGCGTGTGCGTGTCTTCCTCTGTTTGTTTTTCTCTATAGAATACTATGATAACGTCCTCCAGACCGAATTTCGGTCACGGCGGCCAGCCTTAACGGAGGCTAGCCATCGGCGCAGGACAGGATTATAGTTCCGCAGTGTATGCGCAAGCACAGGCGCACTCTCTATTCCCTCACTCTCATAGTCCGATAGGACGGTAAACTGACACGACCGGAGGAGATCAGGACCGACCAGGACCAACGGCTTTACGTGCTTTCCGAGGCACGGGGGTGAGACACCGCCATAGAATAGAATACTATAATACACAATAGAATGGCTGTCAATTTTATTTTGTACGAGGTTTGGCGTCGCCAAGCCCGATTCGCTGTGTTGACAGACTGAATAAATTGACACATTTTGGACTTTTGATTAATGTTCAAGATCATCATTAAAAAAATCTTTTATATTATAATACATATTTATTTGTAAATAGCGTGCAATTAAGTATTTTTTAAATAATTTGCATACGAAATTTGGAAACAATTGTAGCGTTAAAACACATCTCGTGTTGACATTTATACGTGTGAATTGACGTGTTAGTGACATTTTACTGGCTACGTGGGCTCCGCCTACTCCCCCGTTCTATTATGTATGTATTATAGTATTCTATGTTTCTCTCTGTGTGCGTGTGCATGTGTGTGTGTGCGCACTCACACGCCGCCGCCGTCGCAGAACTTGCGCGCCTCGCGCGGGCGCTGCTCGCCGCGGTGCTCTGCGGGCAGGCGGGCCGACTCCGCCGCCTCATGTTGCTGCGGCCGCGGCTGCTCCGTCTGCGCGGACCGCCTCACGCGATCCTCCAGCCTGTCATCACATGCGATGTATTCATTGCGTCGGCCATCGCTGAACAAACGCCTCCCACGTACATTCACTCACAAGGGGAAGGGAAGTATTTCATATAGTTTGCCACGCTTGGTCAACGAGTTAACAAGCACAGTTTCTTAATTACTTTTAATTGCTATTAAAAGTTAGCTGGACGCTTATCTTTTATTGATATAACTTCAAAGAAGAGATGGGCCGAATATGGATTTCACCGAATACAAATATTCGGCCAAATGTTCGGTAAAACTTTTACCGAACCGAATATTCGGCCGAACATTATTCGGCAACTTCACCTCGGTACCGAACCAACTTATGTCGAAACAAATCCGGACCCTACCACTCGCTACCCAGCCACACCTGACATGTTATTGCATCATCTAGTACTGAGCAAATTGCCAGCACATCATGCGTATGTTTTGCCTATTTTAGTGAAAAAAAGTATTTCGTTGTGTTATTCTTAGCGAAAATTATTATATGATAAAAATGAGAGGCAGGAGATCTACTTGGACTTATTTTAAAGAGACTGACGACCAATGTAAAGTGAAATGTACTAATGTAATGTAGGTAATGTTTCTTTTATTCCCAAAAATATTTTATCAACCTTTCTATTCGGTATAATTAGAAATAAATTCACAGTGCATCAAAACATAACGCTATACAAGTAGCGTAAGTATACTACTTGTATACACGTACAAGCTTGTATACAAATACATAAATAAAATATACTTTAACAGTAAAATTATGAAAGCCATGGCATTACTCAATTCGTACATTTCAATACAGTGGACACTGAGTACCACTTTAACTAATGTTCGGTGATTTAGCCGAATACAAGGCTGCACTAAAAGTATCGGGAATGGAATATTTCCACTGTTCCTGTAATATTAAAATCTTTTTAATTGAAAACTCCTTGGTTTTAAAAATCGAATACCATTTATTTATTTAAAAAAAGATTCTCGGTCTTGTCACAAGGTTTTGTCAAACTTGTTTAGTCCTTGAGAAAATGGAATTGACTCGAGAAAATTCAAGAGCGATGATTTATTATGGCTTTCGAAGTGGTTTAACACAAAAGCAGTGTGTTGACCGGATGATTTCTGCATTTGGTGATGAAGCTTCATCCAAAACCACAATTTGTCGCTGGTTTGCTGAATTTCAACGTGGACGTGTCAAGCTCAATGATGATCCCCGTCAAGGTCGTCCAAAAACTGCAGTCACCCAGGAAAACTTTGATGCTGTGCGTAAGCTGATTGAGGAAGATCGACATGTGACATACCGTGAAATTCAGGCAACTTTAGACATTGGCATGAGTCAAATACAAATAATCTTGCATGAACAATTAGGTGTAAAAAAGTTGTTTTCCCGATGGATACCGCATTCGCTCTGTGAAGAGCAAAGAGCGGCTCGCGTTACTTGGTGCGTCAGAACTCTCGAAAGATTCCACGCAGGATCCTCAAATGCTGTATACAACATCGTATCAGGTGACGAATCCTGGATATACGCGTACGAACCCGAAACAAAAAACCAGTCACGAGTTTGGGTGTTCGAAAATGAGTTAAAGCCAACAAAAATTGTTCGTTCACGAAGTGTTGCAAAAAAAATGGTGGCCACGTTTGTCTCCAAAACCGGCCATGTTACGACTATTCCTCTTGAGGGACAAAGAACGGTTAATGCAGAATGGTATACTAGCATTTGTTTGTCACAGGTCGTTTCTGAACTCCGTAAAGAGAACTGCAACCTGCACACAAAACAAAACAGTTTTTAGAGCAAGAAAACATAGAATTATTAGACCATCCGCCGTACAGCCCCGACCTAAGCCCTAATGATTTCTAAACTTTCCCTAAAATAAAGAATAAATTGCGTAGACAGAGATTTTCATCACCTGAAGAAGCTGTGGACGCCTACAAAAACCCCATTGGAGACCCCAACTTCCGAATGGAATGCTTGCTTCAATGTTTGATTCCATCGTATGGAAAAATGTGTCACGGAGAAACAAAGCAATAAATACATTTTTAAATAGTAATGTTGTGTCACTTCCTTGATTCCCGAAATTTTCAGTGCCGCCCTCGTATCCGGCCGAGTACGAATATTCGGTAAGCTGCCGAATACCGAATATGAAACGAATATTCGACCCATCCCTGCTTTAAAGGTAACTACATTCCTTGAAATAACTGCTTTAAACTAAAAATTTCCATTTACTTTTTTACTGAAACATTCAAAATTATTTTAAACGCACCCATTAACAAATATGAAAAAGTTTATATTTAGATAATAATGTCAAAAATTTCGAAAGTCACTAAAAGACTTGTAATACAAGTTTTTTTATACCTGAGTACATCAGACACCAATCTCACAAGCTAAGCTAAAAGTGCAACTTACAAATTCATTAGTGCCAACAGGGATCTAATGCGAGTTGCTCTCATACAACTTACAAACGTTTTAAACGGTACACGTCATTTGAATGAAAAAATGAATAAATCCATAAGAATAAATAAATTGAAGTGTCTAATAACAATGTAAAAATAACAGGTTTTTATAAAATTCCTTAGAGTAATTACATACATATAAAATTCATATGAAAACATATATAACAAGGGTAACATAATCTACTTTTATTTAAAAAAAAATAATTAGCATTCCGCGCAAAAAATTGCAGGCGGAAAAAACCGCGAAAACAGTTAGTGTACTGTGTAAAATCTGTTTTTTCAGTATATAAAATGTGTTTTTCACTTGTGATGATACATTTATGATAAGTGAATAAGATATTGAGTGTAATTTTTTTAACAATGCTATAAACATTCCTGATATTACATAAAATGTTATCATCACAAGTACATATGACATTGAGAGTGTATTATGTATTGTATCCATGTTATTTGCTGACCTGTTACCCGCGAGTTCAGGCAACTGCGGCAAGTCTGAAGGCTGTGGGTAATGAGGGTGTTGATGGTGGTACTGTTGTTGCTGCTGGTGGCGTTGTGGTGCTGCTGCCACGTGTGCCACGCGTGGCAGCGCGTCGTCCGCGCGCAGCACGGGCAGCGTACGAGACAGGAACCGCAGCGTTTCGTTGCGGATCAGCTCACTGTAGGTACACATAGTCATTTACCCACATTAAGTCATGTATGAATATTTTACAAAGAATATGGGTAACAAACGTGCACACAGTCCACCTGATGATACACACAGTGGACCATAGACATTCTACTTCACCCCTGATCATCACCCCTGAGGACTGAGATGAATTACCCCATTACTAACAAAAGGGTTTGGGGTGCGAAGACATTTAAATATGTAGTAGTAATAGACCCGACATCAGCAACAAAATTGTGGTCTGTAACCTTTATCCTATAGGATATATCCGATTTTTATCATTTAGTCTAAGTGACATCGCCGAAAGGTCAAGACGCATTCGTTTCATAAATTTAAAAAATATAGTAAATTTAAAAAGTATAATAACTAACGGCCAACGCCTCCTCCTTGTACTCCACTGCCTCCGCCCATCTATGAGTTAGGTAACCCAGAAGAAGCTGAGCGACTCCAACGGAAACCATACTGACGGTCACTAATCAGCTGGTGGTCCTCAAGGTACCGCATGAGCTGGCGGTTAATAATTATTTACATTATTATGGAGAACAAGGAGGTGATAGCGATTGCCTGTAGTTTGAATAATCTGAGCGGTCGCCTTTTTTAGCGATCGGGTGCACCAAAGCTGTCTTCCGTGAGTATGGGACTACGCTTAGGGAGTAGGAGTACCGGAAAAGACGCTTTTAAACCGGTGCCAACTCCGAAACACACCTGTTCAGTACAAAAGGCGGTACTCCATCCGGCCCACTTGATTTATTGGCGTCCAGGGACAGGAGTGCTTTGCTCACCGAACGCTGTGTAAAAAGTACATCCTGCATGGGGCACTCAGAGCGCTGGATAGTCGGTGGTGTGTTCTCGAGAGGTGAGTTGGACGTAAAGAGAGAGCCTAGCAGATAGGCTTTCTCCTTTGCGGCATGGGCCAGTGAATCGTCCTCTATGTGCAGAGATGGCTGACAGAGGTTCCCTTAGATAGCCTTGGCGAGAGACTAGAATACACGTGTTCCCCAAGAAAATTATATCAGCAGTATAGTTGTAGTATTTACCACGTGCTCGGCGGTGAAGGAAAACATCGTGAGGAAACCTGCATGTCTGAGGAATAAGAAAAAAATATTTCAAAGACATGTAAAGTTGGCCAACACGCATTAGGACAGCGCGGCAGACACTTCCTTGCCCTAAAACCCTCTTAGAAATGAGGGGAGGCCTGTGCCCAGCAGTAGGACGTATATAGGCTGTTACTTTACTTACTTTACTTTTATAATTGTAGCACGAATGGATCGACTCGACCGGGGAAGGACCACGCTCTCACAGAATACCAACGTGAAATAGTAACCTAATGCTGCTATGTTTCGTGTGGTGAGTGTAGAGATCCGGAGACCCTTTTTACTGGAAGCGAGGCATTCCGTCTTAGTCCTCAGGGGTGACAACGCATTTTCGTTTTGATTCTTAATCGAGGATAAATGTAGATGTCTATGGGCCACAGCATCCACTTACCATCAAGTGGACTGTGTGCTCGTTTGTCACCCTTATTCTATAAAAAAACTTATCTTATTATTAACTAACAAAACCATCCAATATCTTTAGATAAGATTATTTCCAAACCAATATCTCGCCTGGTTAATGTTGATACATTAATTCTCATTATCATCATCAGTATCAGTACATTCCATCACAAATCATTTGCTGAACGTAGGCCACAAACCACGGTCATAAGCCATCTGCCCGTATTTACATCCTACATCTCTTACCACCTCCACCTAGACAGGATCATCTTACATTTCAGTACAGGATTGCCAACTGAAAACTTGCCCTTGTATATGTGAATGTGCAAGTATTTTTGTGAGTACCCAATTTTTTTTTTATATTATATCTACAGATTAGGTTATCAAAGATCAAAGTAACTGACCTTATCACCACAATATAGGAGATATTTGACACAATTACATTTAGTAAAAATCGAATTTTTTTCATTTTTTGGTCTAATTAGTGGTCGTAAACGCGGTTCCTGAGGTCTCTGGTTCTAATAGGTTGGACCAGAATCATTTATTAGGTTATTCTGTCATGAAATTTTCAGTAGCAGCCCGGAGCCTATGTAAGTGATGGAGTAGAGAGTGCATCTGTGCTTGCGCAAACACTCGAGCACTATAATCCTGACTTGTTCATAGCAAGTCTTCGTTGATACTGGCCGTCGTGGCCGACGTGAAATTCGGTCTGGAGACCATTTTTCCGAGTGTAGAAAGCTAGCAAGAAACAAGTTAGTAAATGATATAGGAGTGAAGGTAAGCGTGACTCACAAGGGGTAGGGCTCTCCGCCTGGCAGTTGACCCAGCGGGTTGCGCGGCACGAGGCCACGGTTGAGGTCACCGCACAGGTTGTGCGCGCTCACGTGCGGCCGCGAACTGCTCCCCGTGCACTCCGCGTTCGACTGCCGGTACGGCGGCGGCCGCACTCTGTAAAGACCCTACTCTTAATATTCTTCGCTGTTGTATTACAAACACACAGCACACGAGGTTGAGACGTGTCGAGAACCTTGCAGCTATTATGTTTGTAGCACAAAAAGGTCAGCTCGACGGGGTTAGAACCATGCTCTCACAGAATACCAGCTTAGGGAACGGAGACCCTTTTTACTTTAAAAGAGACATTCAATCTTAGTTCTCTGGAGTGACAACGCAACTGCACTTTGATTCTTAATCGGGAATAAATGTAATTTATCGATCACAGCATCCACTTACCATCAGGTGGACTGTGTGCTCGTTTGTCACACTTATCCTATAAAAAAACGGTCCACCTGATGATAAGTAATGAAATAATGCAGATTCGTTGTCTTTCCTGAGAACTAGGTATAGAATTCCTCGTATGAAGTAAAAATATCTCCGATGCTCTACACTCACCATACGAAACAGCAACATTTAGTTATTTTACGCTGGTATTCTGTCAGAGCGCGATCCTCCCCTGTTTGAGTGGACCCATTGGTGCCACAACTATAATATAGCTGCAACATACTTATAACCACGTTGAAAGATAAAATTCTTGTATATTTTGTACATACACAACATAAACAAATCGAAAATTACGGTTGATTATGAGCTGATTTTGCAATTGACAGCTATAAGTTATCCAAGCAAATAAATTACAACCTGACTGAATATATAAGTGCAACAATTAGAATATTTTATTCATGCAACTGTGATTTTTAATTTGTTTATATTGTGTATTATATTCTATGAATAGTTTTTATGATTAATTAAAAAATCACCTCTTTTGTAATTATAATATAATTTTGGATAAGTCGTAAGAGAAAACTGAATACTTATTATAGCGGTATATTTGCTATAGATGCCACGTTAGACCAGGTGGATTAGCAACCATAGATTTTTTATTATATTAAGTAAAATATCGGGAAGATGATAGTACCCGTCCCTAATTTATGTAAGACCTATATACAAAAATGGTCTTCATAGACTGAAATGAATGATTTGAACAGGCGTCATTGTTAAAGGTGGTCACGTACACAGAAAATTCTTTGAACCTGATAGTAACTTGCCTCGCTTTTAAAAAGTACAGTTGTCCCGACAAATGAATGCATTTGGAAGGCATTTAATTCTCTAAGTTAAGTACGAGAAGTATATTTATAAGTTCAGGGAAGTATGGACGGAAAAGTCCGCGGTTTTGGGGTGTTCTCTAGAGTAGGGATTACCAAAGTGGTCGATATCGACTGCTTGGGGTCGAAATCGGTTTCCCAGGGCTCGCCATAAACGCAAACGGAACTGTTTCTGTAACTTGTATTTATAATTATTAATTACACTTGATATTTACTGAATTTTATGATTATTTATTTTGTTAAATTTTGGTGAGAAAATGATGTCAAGTTTACTTAACCAACCGAAAATTGTTTTAAATTTGTAAGTATTTTGTACCAGTAGGGAAAAAACTGGAGATACAGAGTCTGAGGTATCAGTTCATTTTGGAAAAAGGATCTCTTGCCCAAAATAGTTTGGGAATCCCTGCTCTAGAATTATTCCGTTGTAGGAAAAATTTCGTTAATCATCACGCTTTGCACCTTTGTTGCTGCAGCCTGTCACCGTATTCAGTATCTTGAGTCTGATGTAAACGTCATGTTTATATCGCCAACTATCTATACAAGAGTAATTACTGAATAGTTAAATTTATTCAATTTGCCGCATACGCCTGAGGCAACAAGGCAAGTCTTCACACATCACTATCGTCAATCGTCATCATTACAGTCCTTCTCTGAACTGGTCAAAGCCATCTGCAGTCTCTATACATCTTTATACATATAATTATTCGGTACGTGTGTTTGTCACTGAACTCTTAAGCAGCTGGACTAATTTTGGTGAAATTTTTCGTGTGGTTTTATGTGGGTCCTTGAATTGTTTAAATACACAACTTTAACCGGCAGGTGGTGTATTTGTCGAGATCCAGAAATCACCCATGCGAAGTCGTGGCGGATCGCTAGTCTATTATAAATTCGTGACTGCCCCGTTGGCCTAGTGGTGGTAAACGTGGTTGCAGATCATGAGGTTCAAATTCTGTCCCAGGCTAAAATCAGTTACTGAGTTTCCCTGTCAAAAAATTCTCTGTAGCAGCCCGGAATCGGGAAGGTGGCGGTGTTTTTACCCGGGAAGCACTTATAGCCGTGATTCTTGCGCCTGATCTCTCGCTCCGCACGTGTCGGATTATCGTTCCATCGGACTACGAGAGTGAGGGAATAGAGAGCGAGCTCGTGCTTACGCACGCACTTGTGAAATATAATTGTGTCCTGAGTAGATGGCTAATCTTCAGTGAGACTGGCTGCCGTGACAATCTGGAGGACATTATTAGTATAAAATTCACTATATTTTTCTTACTGAAATGCAAAAAGTTGTTAAAAATTTTGTCATGCTCCATAAGCCTGGTTTTATTACCTCGGCGGCGTAGCATTAGGTGACTCTACAAAAGCATAGTAGCCCTCCGGGGGCTCTTCATTTTCCTCTGTGGTTGATGACGTCACTGGCACCTGTTGAGCCACGGCACTGCACAGTAACGCTGCCACAACCTGCGGACCATAAACATACATTTTGTCAACACTCGTTTGTATTCACTTTGCAATCTGTTCCCGTTTGTCAAATTTTAAACCGAATGAAAAAAAACTGTTACGTTTTCAAAATTATTACTTTGTTAGGCACTAGTACCCTTGTTAATTGTTTTTAACAAGTAAAATAACTATATTTTTATAGCATTGGGTGACAAACAAGCACACAGTCCACCTGATGGTAAACTAAGATGTACATGTTTATTGGTCTCACCAATGAACACCTACATCTATCCTTATATAATAATCAAAATGCAGATACGTTGGCACCCCCGAGAACTAAGATGGAATGCCTCGTTTTCAATAAAAAGGGTCTCCGGTTCTCTACACTCACCACACGAAACACATCAGCATTACGCTGCTATTCTACTATTGTACGCTGGTGTTCTGTGAGAGCGTGGTCCTTCCCCGGTCGAGCCCACCCATTCGTGCTACAAACATAATATAGCTGCAGCGTGGCTCTACCACGTAAAGCATTTGTCAACACATTTAGATTTTACATACATACATACAACCATCGTCGGTGCGGGTCGCTACGTCCGGAATGACGTCATAGCGGCCAACCTGAAGATTGACACCATACAGGAATTTGTGGCCCGGTTGGCGCGCGGACTGTTCGACCGTGCAGACAACGGGCCGCATATACATCTTAACAACTTTGCGCCGCTACACACTCGCCCTCCGGACGGGCGACCCTATCCAAGAGAACTCCTCTCTATATCGATTAGAGAGTCGAGTAACAACCCTCAATGCCGCTGAAAGGCCAACTTCGACCTCATTAGATAACCTCCTTTTTTCGTAGTCATAACCGACTACGAAAAAACTACCGATAGCGACAATTCGTTTTGATAATTACAACGCCATTAGAAGGCTCCCAGGACCGGTCCATAGTAGTGGACCGCGAGGACAGCACGGGTAATGGGGGCTTACCCCGAGGCCCGAAACCTCCATGTGTGTCTACACGCATGAAGAAGACATCAATACATACAATACCCTCTTTTAGGGCAGTCGGGTAAGAAATGTATACCGTTGCAGTATGTGGTGTGTGTGGGTGGTGTAGTAGGTGCCGCGGTAGCAATCAAATCAAACAAATCAGTTTATTTTGTGAACATACGAGTAGGTTATTTTACAGATCTCCATATATACAAGGTAGGTTCTCTACGTCCCGCCAGTAGACATAGAAAATACAAAATAATATCGGTGCAGTGCGACGCTGGTAATTGAGTATTTGGGTGCTCATGGGTAAGGATACGCAGCACGCTTATCTGCATTGAAATAAACGTTGGACTAGATTTGACACAGTACTCAATTCACTTTCGCAATACCGCGTTATTTGCATACAAAGAACATACACTCGATTTGTAAGACTTCTCATTTTTTCGCAGCCGCCCAATAAACATGACAAATATATATTTTTTTATAGGAAAAGGGTGACAAGCGAGCACACAGTCCACCAGATGGTAAATGGTTGCTGTGGCCCGTAGACATCCACATCTATCCTCGTTTGCGAATCAAAATGCAGTTGCGTTGTCACCCTTGAGGACTAAGATGGAATGCCTCGTTTCCAGTAAAAAGGGTCTCCGGTTCTCTACACTCACCGTACGAAACACAGCAGCATTAAACTGCTATTTGACGCTGGTATTCTGTGAGAGTCCTTCACCGGTCGAGCCGACCCATTCGTGGTACAACTATACAATTAACATAGCAGCAGCATGGCTCTACCACATATGAAATATTTTGGTTTTTGTGTCTATTTTTTGGCTCTGTAGCCTAAACAGCTTTGTGCATTTTAACACATAAGGTGTCATTAGATTCGTCGTGTGGGAGTGACATAAGTATATAAAAATTTCTCTTTAGGTTGTTTTTTTAATAACTGTTGTCAACAGTAGGGCTTGTTACTATTTACATTGGTCGGAATGTACACTTGATGTAAATTTTTATCTATAAGTTAAAAGTTAACGCATAAATGAACCGTGCAGTGGGGGTGTAAAAATATCCACTGCCCCGTACTCTGGGGGCGTCATAAGAGGCAACAGGGGGAAAAAGCTAGAAGTCAGGAGCATCTTCTTGATATCAGCTGTATAAAAAAACTGCGGTTACAATGCTTGGCAACTATGGCATGTCGTAATCCCTCTTATGAGGCAATCTATTTTTTTTATAGGAGAGGCGGCAAACGAGTATACGGCTCAGCTGATGGTAAGTGATTCCGGTGATTACCGTCGCCCATGACCGCAACCGCAACACCAGAGAAATTGCAGATGCTTTGCCGGCTTTTTAAAAAGAAGTAAGCTCTTTCCCTAAGTCGTATCGGTCCGGAATATCTATGAGGGAGGCCTATGTTCAGCTGTGGAATTTTGGTAGGCTGTTAAGGTGTGAATATAAGTTCATAAAAATTTGGGCAATGTAGACAAAAGTTAACGAAGTAATAGCTTTATTAACATTTGGCTTTATTATAGTATGTATAGAGATCGTCTAATTTAAAATTACACGCGCCAGCCTTGTATTTTGTTAGATTATGCATTTACTATATTAAGTATCATAAAATCTAATTCTGTCAACCATTTCTATTGTGTTTTAGTAGATTTTGTCGTTCTTACTATACTCGTATTTGACATAATAACAGTGATAAAATGTAAAAAAAATGTTATTATTAAATTTTATTAATAATTAATTTGTAATAAATTGTATTTCTAATTTGAGACTCAACTTTTAGAGTGATATCTGAAGAGGAAGTCATGAAACAGAAACAGAAACTTTTTTATTTAGTATAAATTATAAATAATACTTATTGTAAGTCACTCTTGTGTTTAATTACCACTGGTTCGACAAATTGCCTTTGACAGGCATGAAACACAGCAAGACTTAAAAAAACAGCTTACAATTATGTATGTTGTACAATTAATCAACACAAAACAAGTTGGAAATCGATCGGTAGCGATCACCTCATTTTCACCTCAATCCAACGATGAGGATGATGATAAATATGTTTTATCAACACATTTATTTATTCATTATAATATAAAACAACATAATTTATAAGTAATTTAAAACGGATAGATCATTGAAGTATAATATCTATAGTGATTTAATATCTCAATGGGATAGACTTTGTCTCGTGTTTTTATCTGTCAGTCAACCCTGGAAGAAGCAGAGAAGAGGTTCAAATTTCAAACCGTAACTATCCACACAGATTTAGAATAGCAGCGGTATGGCCTAATGAAGGAAATAAAGAATATAATGGTAGGTACATAAATCAAACTGATTTGTTGTGCCACTTGAGGCAACAATTTAGAAATGGAAACAGAGCGAGAACTAGAGTGAGCACATACAATGATATCTGTATTTAATATAGCAAGAGCGCTCATTATGACAATTGTTATAAGTAATTTGGCGAGAGTGTTAGAAAACATCACGCAGTCAGAACAATGGGTGAGGCGGTATAAAGTATCAGGCGATGACAAACACGAAGCGTTATTATAATAATAATGAGTACGTGGTCGGTAATAACACATAAGAAAGAGATTTGGTCAGTAGCGAAGCAATTTCTATTATTTAATTCTTTACAACCATATTGCCTGCCAACTGCCTCGCTGGTCTAGTGGACGTAAACGTGACTACTGATGATGAGGTGTCGTGTTCTAATCCCGGGGCAGGTCAAAAATCAGTTATTGAGCTTTTCTGTCCAGAAATTCTCAGCAGCAGCCCGGAGTCAGGAAGTGGACGGTGTTCGCCCCGTGCCTCGGGTAACACGTAAAGCCGTTGGTCCCCCGCCTAATCTCTTTCCGGTCCTGTCGGCACGTTCAAAGTCCCATCGGACTCCTGCGCTTGCGGATGAATACACTTGTGCACTATAATCCTGTCCTGCGTAAATGTCTAGTCTCCGTTGAGACATTCGGTTTGGAGGACATTACTACTTATTTTTCAATCATATTAAAATATTATTTCCCAATAATAACTAAAAATTAAAACTGGGGCTACCATATCATATATATCTATCAGATGCCAATTTAAAGGACGTTCTCTATTTCTGACCCAAAAATTAATCTTCACCTCTAATTTTAAATCGAATAGAGGACAAGGTAATGTCGCGCGCATTCGACATTCCCTCTGCTTGAAGTCAAGAAATTTAAAAATGAGTAGATGTTGCTACTGATACCATTATAGCAAGTTATTGAAAACAATGTTATATGTGTAAAAAATAAGAATGTCCACAACATAATAAAAAACAAGGTCATCATCACGTGGGTGTCGTAAGTGGCGACGGAGGAAAACAAATCATGAGATGTCAGATGTCCGTCTTACTAATAACGACTAAAAATAAGCTATGGTTGCCAACCCGTCTGCCAAGTTATGGCTTAATATCCTTATGGAGCAATTTATGGGAATGACCTATGTTCAGCAGTGACAATGGATAGGCCGTAACAGAGGACATGTGTAGTTAACACGCACTGCAATACCATGGTGGAATCTTTGTCGCCATAAAACCCTCTCAGGGATGAGATGAGGTCTGTATCCGGCTGTACAGGCCGTTACTTTAGTCTTTTGTAATTTTGTCTGTCTATTAAAATAGTTACATATATCAGATGTAAATCGCATTTCATCTGTTAAAAAAACTGACAGTTGTAATAACTGCTCACGACTAGCTAGCAATTATCCTAACGGAAAAAGTGGTAAAATTAAAAATCTTGTACAGCCGACTTCCATATAAACAAAATGACAACATCATCAATGTATTCGAATTTTAAAATAACTCGAGAACTGTTGGTCAGATTTTGATCAGATTTATATGGGACCACACGAGAAGCACCAGCTTTCATATAAAATAGGAAAACAGGATTCAATTTCAAACTCGAAAGTAATCGTTTGTTTAAGTTTACAAGTTTTTATTTCGAAGATGGTGACAGCAATAGTAGGAATAATGTTACTGATAATGACAATGCAACTTTTCTTATTAAGCCTGAAAATGGCCTTTTAGATAATGTTCTAGATGAAGGGTTTGCTCAAGCATCATGTGGGTTCCAACTTGTTAACCCTACAACTGGTGTTTTTGAAGATGTAACTGATTGTTCAGAACCTGATGCAGCTGCTGAAGATAAAAGGGCAAAAAGAGGAAGTAAAACCCCGCTACTTGGGAAAGGAAAAAAAAATAATTTGTAAAATTATGTGTCAAATGCGGAGAGAAATTGAATGAAAGTTAATGTAAAGATATTTTTAATAAATTTATTATCATCAAAATCGATTCACCCGGAAAGAAGTTCAGATACATTCGAATTGAGTACCTCCTCTTTTTGGAAGTCTGTTGATAAAATAAGGTATAATAATAATAATAAATGTTTATTTATTAAGGTATCAACCTACTTATGTCACATAGATTTTGCATCAAAGACAATGAATTAGAGTATTATACACATACAAAATTACAAATTAAACTCTATTATGAGTTAAAATATAGTAGTTTAAAAAAAATTCATCACCTATAGCGTCTGATGCATACCCTGCCAGCGTTTATAAAATATATTGCCACTTGGAGACACCTGAGCAACGACCTTAACTAATTCGTTTGTTGAGTTACGTACAGTTTCCCAGAACCTGGCCGTTCTACAACGTGACACTGCGTAAAAGTCTGGGGCGGCAGCCTCTGCGAACATTGTGGGCACACTGCAGTACCGCGGACGTTTCAAAAATGCATAGCGCGAAACGAGCATCATTACACTGTACTCTGAGGATGTTATAGGATTTTTTGGTATAGGTGAATTGTAACTGAAATTACCTATACAAATAAATAATATTGCAGCGTCTGTCTGTAATATTAAAATAACTGACTTCTATTAAGCTTTGACATAAATAACGATTATTAAAATGTTTGTCTGTGTGTCTGTCGCTCCGCGCTAATCTTTGGAATGATTGAACAGCTGCAACATTTACACGATGAAACGTTACAGTTACAAGCAAAAAGTTTTTTTTAAGAAAGGAAGGGGAGTATGTATTTTAACCGAACAAATTGACGATTAAAAATAAGTAAACTAAATGGTATTTGATTATCTTAAATCTGAACGACGTTATATTTACAGAACCTATAAGGGCGAAGTATAGAATAAATAATAGTACTACATAGCGAATGTGTGATTGTTGGTTTGTCCTTCTTTCACACAGCATCGGAGCGAAGGGTCGAGAATTAAAAAAAAAGTAAATAATAAATGGCTTTTGATAATCAATCCAGACGAAATCGGGTCGAGTCGCTAGTCAGAAATAATGACAGTGCTCGAAGAGATAATAGCTGCACAATTTGCAATCTTAAAATAAGCTTTAATTGTCTAAGAACTTTCTACGTATTCATTTCTTTTTCCTATACTTTCTATTTACATTATTGCGTGGTTCGCAGGCCTGCGGGCCTGATCATTGAACTGTGGGTCCAGCGTTCAAATAACAGATACGTTAATTAAGATGCCTTGTCTTGTCTTTATTTAGGATTCGATAGAGTAAATAATTATAAAACCATACCGAATTAAGAGGCATTATATTAACAGCTCGTTTGATTCAGATGGGAAAGACAAAATCTACGAAGTATAAGACGTCCCCTCACTAGATGAATTGACCTGCTGCCATCGATTTCCTGTATGTCTTACCAGGACAATTCATCTAATGAGGGGACGCCTTTTGCCATAGTTGCCATGCTTTTGGGGCGGGTTGGTAATCACAGTTTTTTATTATTTTGATATTTTGATTTCTTACCAGGGAGATGCTGGTGGTTTTCTACTGTATTAGTTCCCTATGTTTTATTTTACAATATCCCCGGTGATATATATACATCTTTTCATGTGTATCATTATTTATTATGTCAAAACCATGTCGTTATATTTAAATTATAAAAGATCTTACATATAACCTCTATTATATCATGTTTAATCTTTCTTCACGCCCCTATTAAAATCACAAAGAATATATTATTATACGAGTGTAGTGCTAGTGCATTATCTATGGCCAGGAAACCGTGTGAATGCATTTACGCATGTACACTTAGGTAACCCTGGCTTATTTAAGTCATTGTTAAATATTCAAAATGTGACTTCTTAAATTGACGCGAACACTACACATTGAATAAAACTATTTATACGGATTTTATCGCGTTTAATTAACATATTTTTAATTCCCGACGTTTCGGGTGTTTTATAGCACCGATGGTCACGGGGGGACTGAAATGCTTGACGTCCCAATATCGTAGTTAGCCCAGCTACCTTAGGTTTTAATACTAATTTTTGGTCCAATCTAAGCAGAACGAGCTTACAGTATCTTGAAGTCTTGCAGTGGTATGCTTGGGTTTGGATTTAATTTTGTTAATTATAGTATCCCAAGCAGATGGCAGTAGCCCATCTTCTCTATTGAAATTAGGATGTTTTTTAATTTCAATAGCCTCGCGTATCATCCTTGGTAGGAATCGGTGTTCTTTTGCGAGGATTTGTGGTTTATCAAACCTGATGTAATGGTGGGTACAATCCTGAACATGTTTACAGACTGCAGACTTCCCGGAGCGTCGGTGCTTCACGTCAGCTATATGTTCTTTCACGCGGGTTTTTACAGACCTTTTTGTTTGTCATACATAAGAGAGATCATGCTACTGCTTCCCTACAATGTTTAAAATGACGATAACCAGATAACATATCCTTTCATGTACTGTATTGATGAAGTAATTTAAATAAGATTATGAGACAAAAACATAAGCGGTTGTTTTCCTTTTGAAATTCATATTTACATTTAGACAAACCCCGGATACAATTGCTGGACGCTTCCGTCAGTGACAAGGTGAATAACTCGCTCATTGAAACTCGAAATAAATAGAGGAAGCAATACTTCAAACCCACATGCTTACAGTTTTAGTGTGTTCTGTTCTGTGACATACAAGGCATTCTTTTGCTTACACATGTAATAATTATCAGAAAAATGAAATTAAAATTAAATACATTTTTATTTTGAAATTGAATGTGGCCATACCCTCCATTACATGTTAGAGGTAATGACCCACAGAAATAGTAATAATAAGACAACATTATTACTATTTCTGTGTAATAACCACATAGGTACTTACAATAATTATTTGCAAAAATATTATTGGCGAATTTTTTAACTTTATTTATTTTATTTGAGGTCAAGTTTTCTAAAGTCAAGTTATTTCCATACTTTGAATACTGATTCTGATGACGCACGTTTTTCTTAAATTTTTTATATAATAGTGTGAAAAACGAGCACACAGTACACCTAATGGTAAGTGGATGCTGTGGTACATAGACTTCTATATTCATCCTCGATTAAGAATCAAAATGCAGATGCGTTGTCACCCCTGAGGACTAAGATGGAATGCCTCGTTTCCAGTAAAAAAGGGTCTCCGGATCTCTACACTCACCATACGAAACACAGTAGTGTTACGCTGCTATTTTACGCTGGTATTCTGTGAGAGCGTGGTACTTTATCGGTCCAACCGACCCATTCGTGCTGCCACCATAATATAACTACAGCATGACTCTAGCAGGTATAAAACGTACATGTTGTAGGTATAAGCATTCTATTGCTTATATCGGCACTCGTAAAACAACATCGTATGTCATCTGTTCGTCCGTTTGTCACAACCACAGGCGATTACCTCTGAAACTTTAAGTAGGTATTAACTTGAGATTTAGCACAGGGCTAGTTAGGTGGAACCGTGGTGGCTCAGATGGTTAGCGCGCGCTGTAAATTTCACAGTACACGAGCAACCCGGGTTCGATCCCCGCCGGCACAAATGAAATTGTTGATTGAAATTTTAAGTGCTGATTTACCACGTGCTCGGCGGTAAAGTAAAACATCTTGAGGTAACCTGCATGACTGAGAAATAAAAAAAAATACTTCGTAAACATGTGAAGTTCGCCAACACGTATTAGGGCAGCGCGGCGGACGCTTTCTTGCCCGAAAACCCTCTCAGAAATGAAAGGAGCTTTTGACGACTCTTTGGCGCAGTGGTTTAGTAATGATTTGCAACGCTGAGAACTATCTGTATGGCCTACAAATAATTTTTGAAGGTCGGGATGTTTTACCTTATGAACTTTTTTACGTGGTAAAGCCATGCTGCAGATATTTTATCGTTGTAGCACAGATGGTTCGGCTCGACCGGGGAAGGACCACGCTCTGACAGAATACCAGCGTAAAATAACTGCTTGCGTCTGTTGTGCTACGTGTAGTGTAAGTGTAGGGAACCGGAGACCCTTTTTACTGAAAACGAGGCATTCCCTCTCATTCCTCAGGGATTAAACGCATGCATTTTGTATTTTAATGGACGATAAGTGTGGATGTCTGTAGGTTCGAGCATCCATTTACCATTAGGCGGACTGTGTGACCCATAATTTATAAAAAATATGACAAAATCTAGTGTAACCTGGGGGGTAACGTTTCATGATTACAAACATTATTACATATGCGAATCCGGAACACCAATAGCCATATACGTAGGTACTACACCGAAGACCTACATCTCGAACTAAAAGTAGAGCAAACTGAATCCGTATTTTTGCAGTATAATAAAACATATCTGTTTTTATGAAGATTTTTTTGTCGCGTCGTTTGATTCGTTACGAGCCGGAAACATTTAGGTCAGTGGGTTGCCAACCAGTTTCCTTTCTTGTACATGAACATGAGTCAAACAGTGAAAATGAGGGCGTCCGAGACTCGTGCCACCAGAGCGGCGCCACTGTGGAATGTGATGAAATATTTGACAACCCCCAACGGCACAGTCAGGCTTTTTGGTTGTGTGTCCGGCCAAATTAGACGGTGTCCGGTTTTTGTTAGACTTTACAAATTTGACAATTTTTTACATTTCTCATGTACTTACATAAATACTATTACAATTATTAAAATTATTATTGTAATGAATATTGAATGATTAATAATAAAGATTAATTTTATTGTTATTCCATTAAAATATAAGATTTTAATGGAATAACATTAAAAAATTGGTAAATGATAAAAAGCCTTTTTTTATGTGTTATACTAGGGCTAAAAACTCAAAGGTCTCCCAAAAGACTGGCTGGTCTGTCCGGCTTTTCAGTTTTAAGACCTGGCAACCCTAGCTGGGAAGATAATTTGTTAGGAAAATGTAAGTTAAATCTGAATAAATGTTAATCTTTCTATCA